AATGATTATCCTAATTATATTTTAGATTTTTTATATTTAAAATGAAATGTTTATCATGCATTTGATTATGTTTATCTGCAGTTAGTTACATGAATTCAGATATGGAGCTTTAATAAGTTGTACTTACGCACAATCTACGTGTAATCTTGAGTTTTAAGTAACATGCATTAACAAACAGTATTTTATGCATAAAAAATGGATTTAAGAGTTTTTGTTAAATGCATAATATAGTATAGATATATTAATAAAATTATATATTGGGTACGGGTTGGTTGGGGGATACGCTACCCGACCCGTCCCCAACCCAACCCCGGTTTGAGTCTACCGGGGATTCCCAGTCCCGGGACCCGTTTGAGCGGGGAATCCCATCCCTGTTCGGGTCGGATGAGCCGGATTTCCTACCGGGTCGGGACAAATCACTATCCCTAGTTTTCAGGGGTCTATGTAAGCCGATCTAAATATTCAGATAAAGAAAAAAAAGGTGAATTACATACCAAAATTAGACAAATATGACTTTTCCAATTTGTCCTTGAGGTAAATAACTTCGATTTGTTTCATGTTTCTTGTTTCATGGATCTCCAAAAATAAAGGGGATGAAGACTTTGCTTTTTATTTTTAAAATTAATTTTTTATTTTATTTTATTTTATTTTTCCTTGTGATAACTCCCAAATCTGATGGCAACATTTCTATCTTCTGCGATTTCTTAGCCAAATCGGTTCATCTTTCTTTCGACTTTACTTGGTCAAATTCCACTTTTGGTCCAAAAAGTTCACTTAATGACAATTTAGTCCTTGCTTTACATCTTTTCTTACTTGCCAAATTCAACCCCTATAGATTACATACTATACAAAAAGTTCCTAGAGTCGGGTGTTGCATAATCTCATCGAAACTCCACATTAAAATTTACGTGTTCGTTCATTCGATCTGTGTGAAGTTCCTCGCGAATGTTATTTGCTGAAGGTAAAATTAAAGGTAATTTTGTTATATCAGATTTCTGAAGGCAACTCCGTCAAAGTAATCAAATGGAATATGAAGGTTTTCGGGTTTCTTCAACAACAATTCACCAACAAATGATAACATGCAAAATACGAAAATAAATAGAAACTTTACTTTATTTGAAAAAAGAAACCAGTGTTACAAATCAGTTAATACATCTATCAGACGTTACTCCTTTTTGTTATTGAACAAATCCTAGAGTCATGATTATGATGTTGTTTGCAAGGTCTGCACAACCTCTTTCCATTTGAACCGCCACCAATCGATTCTCCATATGCATTGACATAGAGTTTGCTTGTTCCATCGTCTTCGTTCTTTATGTTTTTAGGAACTTAAATTGAGATCTCAACAGGTTGTGTTGTGCGCTACAAACACTCAATATTGTCTTTTCCACTCCTTGAATATTGACTTACAATACCAAATGGTTTTTGGCCTAGCGGTATGTGAGTCTTTAGCCTCCTAGAAGGTCAGGGTTCAAACCTCACCAAAGGTGAAGATGGTATGTGAGTTTATCTGTTTTATTTGTCGTATATAAATATTATATACTTAAAAAAAAACATTGACTTACAATGCTAGATTTTAGTCTGAAAGCACCAACATTGTTTTGTTGCAGTTTTGCTATCATTAAAAAGGTATTGAAGCAATGACTTCACAAACTACGATGTTATAGCATGGTTCAAAAGTTAAGTTGATCAAAGTGATGATTTTGTGAATATAGGCCATAATACAACCTGTTCTAACCACAAGGGTGGTGTCTGGTTGGTATGAGTTTGACTCCAAAGATCAAAAGTATCTGAAGGTCCCAGGTTTAAATCAAACGAGGAATAAAAATCCCCTTGTAGCCACAGAGGTTCAAATGCGGTGACTCCGGGACTACTATGTATTTTCAACAATGAATGAATATAATTATCAAAAGTTTCACAGGTGAATATCTTTGAATCAATGTAAAAAAATAGGTCAAGTTAAATATTTTTGGTCTCGGTTACTGTTGGGGTTTAAATTGTTATTACCCTATTATTAAGGGTTATAGTTGCATTAGTTATTAATAAAGGTGTTAATTGTCATGAAGTCAATACATGAGGGGCTAAAGTGAAAGTTTTTTCTATTACAAATATGGTAACCAAATCATTTGAGTGGGATAAAAGAATTAGGGTTTTATAAAATACCTTTTGATCTCCAAAGATAACCATTTGTGCAATATTTTGATAAGGTCTTAGTGGGCAAATCAAAGGTATGTGTTTCTTGTTATCTCTTCTGATTCATATTTATTCGGTTCATTGTATAATCTGTATTTACGTTTTTTGATATAATGTCTGATTCGATTAGTTATTCGTTATGAGTGTTTCTTGCGTTCCATGCACGATCCAACGAGTTAGAGGAAACCCTGATATAGAATTCGTAATCTGTAATCTCGAAAATTTCATAATGTTGTAAAAATCATAATGGATCACTCGTTTACTGTTGTGAGGTGTAATAACAGGTTTTTGAAATCATTGAGATCTGTACTGCAAATCTCTGTGAGCCGATCGTACCCTGGTTTTTGTTCAGGAGTTTTTGAAATTGGTATGACACTAGATGAAAATAGGGAACAACTTTTGAAAATTTGTATAAAATCGATTCTAAATCCATTCAATTTTATTCTTGATCCATTATCAGACGTAAATCCTTTAGTATGTAGTATGTATATGTTGTTTAACTAACGCGCGTTTTTTTGTATTTGGTATTTGATTTCATTATTTGTATATGTTATGTATCGTACTGAGCGTTTGACTCATCCGTATTTCTTCCCTTCCGATAGGTATTCTAAGGGGATATAAAAGAGTAAAAGATCGAAGGTTTTTAGATATCTAAGGGGTTTGTTTACGATTTATGTCGGGTTGGTATAATTCATAAAGCTTTATTGCTTTTAACGCAGTTTCACTAGAATGCAGTTCACATTTTTTTGTAACGGGTCAATATGTATCAATATATTAGACTGGGGGTGTAAGACGACGCATATGTCCATCTGGTTGCTTGCATATAACATCAATATATACAGATGTCGGTCAATAGAAAAAGATGAAAAATATGATTGATAGAACAAGACGATATGTAGGAAACTCAAAATTTTAAATCACGGATACATATAAATCCTTTACAAGTGAGGTTGAGACATGGATTTATACCAGGTTGGTGCTTTAAATAATTGTCAGCCTATCTGAAAATCTATGATCAAACATATCAGTTAAATGGACGCATGAGCTACATGACGAGCTGTCTTTGATGCTTGCCATACAGCTAAAGACGTGATATGGCAAGCCAAAAGTCCATTGTGACACATGAAATAGTGTCAGAAGAATAGGTACATGAATACTCCCCATGATGATAATGGTGTGTATGTGTGTAACTCAGAGAGCGTTTGGTTCATTTAGAAAATGAGAAAATTAGAATTAAAAATGGGAACACTGAAGAATAGAATTGAGACCGTTGATTGCATTGATGTTGTTTGGTTGAATACATAGTTGAAGTGTAGAAAAATGTCCAAAGAATTGGAATCTCCATCTTTGTTTGGGGAGGGTAAGGTGGTAGTCGTGACGACGACAATAGCAACTATGTATTCAACCAAACCCAGTGTTACTTCCAACCAAATACCCCTCTTGTTGTAGGACATTTGTCTACAACATTATAACTTTTATTTTGGGAGAAAAATGTCAAAAAGGAGGCGTTTGATTCATAGAATGAAGTTTGGTGGAACTGTAATCCATCGAAGGAATTTGACTTTAAAGTCATTAGAATGAAATTTGCTGGACTTTGACAAGAGAAAAAAAGTAAAAAAAGGAGGCGTTTGATTCACATAATGGAATTTGGTGAAATTGGAATTCATCGAAGGAATTTGACTTTAAAGGAATTAGAATGAAATTTGACCAGATGTTTCGTTGGTAGGAATTGGAATGAAATCTCTCAAAAGAATTGGAATCTCCATCTTTGTTTGAGGAGGGTAAGGTGGTAGTCGTGACGACGACAATATCAGCATAGTGGCCAGTGGTGGGTGGCGATTGACACTTGACAAGGGTTAGGGGTGGAAGCGTGACAGTGACAGTAGTAGAATGGTCGTGATGAGGACAGTGGTGAACGATGTTGGTTAAGTTTGATGTAAATGATGAAATGCAATTCCTTCACTTATGTCAATGAATGATGAATTTCAAAGGATTTCATCCATTTCAAAAAATTTAACCAAACAAAGAAATCGATCATCCCATGGATTCCATGAACCAAAAAGCACTTAAGGGTCAATATAACAATTTAAAAATAGTATAGGGGCCAATATAACAATTTAAAAATAGTATAGGGGCTATTTTGTAACTTTATAAATATATGAATTTCTGTCACCTCGGCTTCGATTTTCGTTGTGCCCTCTACCGATCGACGAAGCTTTCTTCCCGCCGTACTCTCTCTCTCTCTCTCTCTCTTCAACCGTCGTATTCGTATTTATGAACCGGCCGTCGTTTCCCCCACCGTCCACCTCATTCCCCTATCGCCGGCGGCCTGTTATTCACACTTCCATCTTTCATTATTGTTGCATGCCTCCACAGAATCAAAATTCTCTTTGATCTCTAAAACCCTCCTTTTATAACTGCCGTGATTCGCTATTTCTTCTGCTCTTATTTGCTTGTCGACAAGACGAAGTGTTTGCTACATAATTTTATGTCATTAAATAGAGAAAACTGGTGCGTTTGTTTCTTAATTCATGCATTTATTCCCGTTTTCGATCAGTGATTTTGCCTTTTCTTCTTATTCTAATATACGAGTTATTTGTCACTGTTAATTGAGGGTTATATTATGTATTAACAGTCTTAAGATCGTATCAATGTGCTGTTTCAATTGTGCCCTTTTTTATTTTTCTATTTAAGTCAATCTTTCAATTGTTCTTGGGGAAAATGTAGGTTTAAGCCATGGAAAAAACTCACTTTCCCCATTTGCATTCTGCATTTGGAAAAAAAAAATGGTAGGGTAAAATCCACCACCTCAATGTGTTAAACGTCAAAATCAGAATGAACATTTATCTTCGGTGATCGGCCCAAGGGGTGCGGTCCTCTTGCCCCTGCCATTTGTCTGTCTTGGGTTTAAATTAGCTTATACAAGTGTACTATTTGCACTTCCTATACCATATTTTAGCTTAACCAAAACCAATTACACCAAATGGTAGATGACAGTGAGATCGACATCCATGAAGATTTTGAAGAATATTGTAGGAGTGCTCTAGAATTTTTCTTTTTAGCACATGTTAAATCAAGATATAACGTCCTAGGATCAAGAGTATGTACTGGATATTTTTCTTATTCCCAAGAGTACCGTTATTTTCTTGTTTCCTTAGCCCCTTTCCATTTTTTGGAGTTTTAGATAACTATGAAAGAAGTTTTCTCTTCAACGTAACACCCGTTAGAACTACTAGTAAACTTGTTAGATCTTTTTCTTCATCTATCAGGTGAATTGCTCATTCTTTGGGTTGAAGACATGTTCATTCATTGTACAACACTTTACTCTATCTTTGAAGGAGTCCAAACAAAATTCTCTTGTAATGATGGAAGGTGAGAATGTTAGAGCTTAATGAGTTCTTGAAAATTTGAGCACGAGTAAATAATTGGTTATCGATATGGATCGAAGATGGATCCAAGCATAGATGGTTGCACTACCAATTAGAAGAAAATTGTAAAGGACATGGTTCATATATTTCGAACCCCATGAACCGAGGGAGATCCTAAAGCATGAACAATTATAACAGGGATGATTGTTTGCATCCTAAAACCAAAAAATTTCCTACCTTTTTATGGATGAAAAGCAGGTGAAGTTGGTAGCATTTAGGTTACAGGAACTCGGTCCTATCGGTGAAAATGTAGAAGAATTGCCAACAATAAGGGAAGCCAACAAGTTACATGGTGAACCTAGAAAACATTGTTTCTAAACTCAAGTGGTGGACCTCCAACTTTTGGTTTGAAGTTCTAGTTTCTTCATTTGGCTCTCCTAATCTTGTCAAGAAGGACAAAGTTCCTATAGGCTAAATGCTACCAACTACACATCTTTCTCAGCCGCCGAAAGCTACGACTTTTTTTGGATTTAAGATGCATCATTCCCATTACAGCTGATCATGCTTTAACATATGCCTCGGTCGATGAGTTAGAAATACTTGAACTCCGCCTTTTACAATCTTCCTCTAATTGGTAGGTTAATCACCTATGATTGGATCCATCTTCTATCCACATTGATAACCAATTACTTACCGGTGCTCAATTAATAAGAACTCATGGAACTCTAACATTCTCACATTCCATCATTAGCAGAAAAATTTTGTTTCAATTCCTACATGCATAGTAAAGTGTTGTACAATGAAAAAACATGTTTTCACCCTAACATAAAAAAATGACCAACCAGAACACTCCGCAACTAAAAGTTTTGAGCAATTCACTCTATAAATCAAGAGAAAGATCAAACATGTTACTAGTAGTTCCAAAGTGTATTACGTTGAAGGGGTAACTCCATTCCTGGTTATCTAAAACACTCATAACAAAATTCTATGGTAACGATGGATAAGAACGTATGAGCTAAATGAGTTCTTGATAATTTGAACACTGATTATTAATTGGTTATCAATGTGGATATAAGATGGATCCAAGCATAAGCATTTCTAACTGTAGGTCTATAACGAGAACGATCGTTTGAATCTTAAATCCAAGTTTATTTTTTTTAGCTTTTGGTGGACGAGAAGCAGGTGAAGTAGATAGCATGTAGACTGTAAGAACTTGGTCCTATTGGTGGGAATGCTGAAGAACTGCCAACGATAAGGGAAGGCAATAAGTAGTGCACTTAACCTAGAAAACATTGTTTTTGAACTCAAGTGGTGGACTTCCAACAACAGGTCCAAAGTCCTTGTTTCTTCATCATCCTCCTCTAATCTTGTCAAGGAGATGATTTTAAATTCCAAGCCAATGCCAATGAAGAATAATATTAAAATGTTAGCAGATTTTGTGGAGCTACCCAAGTTTGAGATTGTAGATTTTAAATTTTCAAATGAAATGTTCAAGTCTTCAACACCTTTGAATCCTTCATCCAGGCAAATTTGCTACTAATGAATAATGATTGTATTCATGTAAAATGTCATGTGAATCACTTTTTTGGTGGTAGAATGGTTCTTTATTCGTCCCTACTTAAATTAAATCTTTATAAAGCTCATGTGTGTGTTGTCCCATGTGGAGGAAAATGATATGGGAGTACGAAGCAGTACACAGTGAGATTATTAAAAGGGCCATTCAATGTCCAAATAATTAATTGTTTAGATCTACAATTATCCTTGTCAAAACATGTTAAAGAGTTGTGATAAAATATTTTTGAATAATGAGCATATAGTGGTCTATCTCGATTTTCAAGTTTAGGTTATGTTTCTTGTTCTCTAAGCAAAGAAACAACCTCTACAGAAAGGGGTTCTCCTTTTTGTAGAAGTATTAATAGAACTATTCAAGTTTTCCCTTATATATATAAGGGGCATTCTAGATATTTTCAACATTGTGGGTTCAAGGTGAAATTTAGGTTGAAATCCGTTCTTTTTGTCAGGCTTTCTTTGTACTTTGGTTGGATCGTAGTTTCTCTGTTATGCTGTTCTTTGGAATGCGTGCTCCTTGAAAATATTAATTTTTCCGTTAAAAGTTCTCAGCTCTCGTGGCTTCCAATTCACATAAGATACTAACACAGTTCTGAATACATTGAATGCTTTTCAGTTATTGCAACAATTTGGACATGTTTGAATTATGCGGTGATTATAGTCCCGGAGAAGTGGATACAAGAGCGGTTAAATTAGAACTAAATTCAGTTGGGATAACAAGTGAGCAAAATCAGTATCTTCCTGACGTGACCTTGCATAGATGGTCCACTGCTCAAGGAAGAACACACGAATCTGAAAAGAATCGGAGCCTTAGTGCCTCAAGTACGGGTCAAAGTGGCACTTGCATATTGGATCAGGAGCAATCACAAGTTGGTGATTCAGACCCTTGTTCTACATCGTCAATATCGGCAGCGCCCATTTGTCGCCAATTTTGGAAAGCTGGGATCTATAATGAGGATTTAACTCGTGTGCCCAAAAATCATGGTATTTCACTATCAAAGCAATGGCATGATTTTTCGCACGGTTGTCTTTTTTTGAAGTATACAATATTTATATACGGAAAATGCTCACGCCCACTGCTTGACCTCCTGGGAGGTTGGGTTCTACAAGTAACTCGGGTACCGTTGGACCAATGAACCTTTGATTTATGGTTGTTTCTTTTTGGTGCATGTGTTTTTTAAGTATATAATATTTATATACGACAAATGCAACAAATAAACTCACATGCCCTCCTCATCTTTGGTGAGGTTTGAACCCCTGACCTCCTGGGAGGTCAAAGGCTCAGATACCACTATGCCAAAGGGTCTTTGGTCTAGTGCATGTGTTGCATGCAAAGTTGTTAAAAGGCTCAAGGCGCACTTGGGCGCAAAGGGGTCCTGGGCCTAGGCGGAGGCATGGGCCTCAAGAATGTGAGGTGCATCTTACAAAAAACAATATATACACACAATTATAGACAACTAAAATATGTAGCAAGTACTCCAGTGCAATGCAGCAACCCTGCAGTAGTGCGAGAGATAGAAGGGAGAAGGGTTTAAAGCGTGAGCCATGAGGGAGAAGTTTTAAGGTCTGGGTATTTACAGAGAAAGAGGCTTGAAGTTATAAGAACTGGGTATTAAGTATTAAGGTTTGACTTATATCATCTATTTAATAACTCTTTTTTTAAGAAGTCTAGGAGATAAGAAATGAGAAAACTTAATTTAACATCGGGGTTTGACTTGGTATTTAATAACTCTTTATGAGGCGTGCCTAGGCCCACAAGGCGGCTTAGTCAAGGCGCAGGGCCTTAGTGAGCCTCGTGAATACGCCTAGCCTCGACTTTAAGAAAGCCCAAGACCTTGAGCCTTATGAGCCTCAAAACCTAGGCACACTTTTAACAACTATGGTTGCAAGTATATGAAGATCTTAATCACATGTCCAAGACCTTTATACTGATATAATTGAAGACGAAGGATCGTGTAAGAATAGAGTCAAGGTGAGAAGTGTAAGAAGGGATTTGGACCCTTGATCACTTTATTCCCAAACCAAGTTACCAACCCATGAATTGAGCTTTAGAAGGGAATTTATCCTGTGCATCTCATTAGTGTTGATCTAGTGTTTCTCTTCAATTAGGATTGATCTAAGGGTGGACATCCCTTCTTACCCTTCTCACCATAACTTTCATTGTCACGTGAACCCAACCGTATATAATTGAATCCCAATTTAATGATTAAAGATTTGTTGGATGCTTGGCTTAAAGGGGAACCAAAGATCTTATTAGTTATTGGTACATCTTGAAATTTTGGATATACCCAATTCTTAGCTTGTGCTTGCTAGCATCGATAAATACTTTGCTGTTAATATATTCAAGCGCATTTTTTGCTGCATTTCGTATAAATTTCTAATAACTTGTAACCGACAGCTGGTTCAAGTTATCTACATATACACCCGAAGTTTCTTCATTCAAATGCCACTTCACACAAATGGGCCTTTGGTGGTATGTTGAGCTTCACCTTGTTTTTTTTTTTTGTCTATTTGCTTATAGTGCTATACCGAGTTGTAATTTTGCACATATTTAACACATAATCTATTTGTTATCTTTTATATGCAGCCATTGCCGAGCTTCTTGATAATGCTGTGGACGAGGTAGTCATTTTAACCATTTCTTGTTGAATTTTCTACAAGAAGTTTTTTTAATTCCTTTTCATCATTAACATCCTTATTGCGTATTTGTTTATTTTCTTTGGCTAGCATTACCTTGTTTCTTTATGTAGCTACATCGATTTTTTTTTTTCAAACTAGTTCTTACTTGATATCCTTTTATATTCAATGCATTTGATATTTACATAATTTTACATCGAGTTAGTATATCGTATAACGAAATAAAATGATCAAACAAATATATCCAGTAAATGGGGCCAAGATGTACGCAAACATTTTCTCTATCCAGGGACGGACCCTGGTTGCGCATGTGTTATCACGGGCCACTACTTTATTCCTCCGTCGTAGTGTGAAAAATTATAAGGTCGTGAAAAGTGCCATCGTATCAATATTTTGTGTGCCACCGTATATATTTTTAAAATATAACGAGGACACAAGTTTCCCTTGACAGAGTTGGTTTGCAAGGGTTTTCTTCCACCCCAGATCCGAGTTCGAATCCATTTAGTGTCATTTTTTTAGTTTTTAGCTTTTAATTTCAGATTTATCATGTTTCTAAATTTTTTTTGCAATAGAAGACTTGAACACATGACCTCACATATGAAAAGCAATGATCTAACCAACAGACCAATGATGATTTTGTGAAAAATATCCCTATATTTGTTTCTTATAGACAAATGGTGCCACCGTTTGGAAAAAAATTCTAGGTCTATCTCTGCCTCTATCCCAAGGAGTAGAAAGGTTGTTTCCGTGAAGATCCCCGGCTTAACAAAAGGAAAAGAGTTCATATTAATAAGGAAGTAGAATTTGTCCAACATAAGTATGTAATCCTTTTCATTACGATTTGGGTCATTCTTTTTATTCTAGTTTACCTATAATTACGTGTGTATTTTATCTTACTGTGAAGTCTAAATGACCCTAGAGTTTCTGGTTTTAGGCCTAAAAACTTGTTATTTTCCACAAAATTCCTGCACCATTTTATTTGTTTGTCTGCATCGATTACTAATTGACTATGGCGTTTGTCCTTTTTTGACTTGTACTATGTCCTATGCTTCTGCATACTTACTTCATACTCTTGCATGCTTCACCCGATAGATACAAAATGGAGCCACATATGTAGTCGTAGATAAGACCTCAAACCCGAGAAATGGAAGTCCATCATTGTTAATTCAAGGTAATGTATTATGTCTACTCCTAAACAACTATTCAATTGTGTTTTAGGATTTCCTATTTCCCATATTGCAATTCTTATAAAAATATCAATAAATGTGTGATGATTCGAAGCAGATGATGGGGCTGGGATGGATCCAGAAGCAATGCGCCGATGTTTGAGTTTTGGGTTTTCAGATAAAAAGTCAAAATCTGCAATTGGAAAGTGTATGAACGTTGTCCTCTTATTGTGCCAAAGTTGTTGTCCTTTGTCTTTTTTGTTTCTTCTTCATTTTAATCGGTTGCTTTGTTAAAATTTCAGATGGGAACGGCTTTAAAACCAGTTCTATTAGGCTTGGAGGAGATGCCATAGTTTTCAGCCGCAACTTTGTGGACAGGTATTGTCCCAAAGTAGACTCATGAAACCTGAGGCATTAATAGGGTCGAAATATTTTCAGGAAGTGTTCTCTCACGGTCCAAAATATTTTACAAGTTTGATTCATCTTAAGGGGGCGTTTGGTTCGTAGAATGGAATTCGGTGGAATTGGATTTCATCGAAGGAGTTTGACTTTGAAGGAATTGCAGTGGAATTTGATCATGCCTTTGGTTGGATGGAATTGAAATGTAATTGTTAAAGGAATTGAAATCTTTGGGATATCCCATGAAATGGTGAAATCTTTAATCGACGGAATTCCATGGAATTCAGAGGATTCCTACATTTTCAATATGTGAACCAAACAAAGGAATTGGAATTTGGTCAAAGTAATTGACCATTCCAATTCCCTTGAAATCCTTTCAATTCAATGAACCAAACAGCCACTTATATGTCACGAAACCCATAATTTTTCTAACAGTTGTTAACCTCCTTACCGTTTTCTGGTAGAAAACCGCCATGGATTGCACTCTAATGCTTAACCTTTTTTTCCCATTCTCCAACATAGTTCCGAAGAATGTTTGGATAGTCAACTTTAGATATAACTTGGCATTTAGATTCGGCATGCCCGTCAATCTAGTGTCCTTTCTGTCAGTCGAAGTTAATCCCTTGTTTTTGTTTTCCGTTTTTTCATCTTCAATTTTGTTGTTTCTTGTGGACAGGACATTGACACAAAGCATTGGCCTTTTATCTTATACATTTTTGACACGATCAGGCTATGACAGAATAGTTGTTCCGATGGTGAGAAAATTTAAAGTTCTCCTAATATTTTCTTTTTTTGCCAGGGTTATCTGCCATCACATTTAAGCCTACAAAATGTAGATTGTGAAAATAGAAACCTTATTGGCCTTTTCTATTTACATTGTGTTTTTTATATCGTTGTCGGACATATTTAGGTCCTCGATTATAATGACTATGGTTCCCGTTCTAATAAAATGTGAATTTTTGGCTTCTCTCGTGAACCGCAGGTCCATTATGAGTTCAATTTTATGACGGGTTCTTTTGAGTCGCTACAATCGAAAAGTCATGAACAATCTAATACCAACCTATCTGTGCTTCTGAAGTGGTCTCCTTACTCAACAGAAGAAGAGCTACTAAAGCAAGTAAGCGCCCCCATTGCCACTATCTGGACTGGATCTGCTTCATTTGCTTTCATCGTCTTCTTTGATCTGTTAACATTTGTTGGGCCACCAAAGGGTTATTGACCTGGCGGTATCTGGGTTAACGGTAAATGATCCCAACCTTCATGGAGGTCAAGGTTCAAGTCTCACCAAAGGTGAGAAGTGTGCGAGTTTGGATCCAGGAAAAATGCGGGGGCACAAAATAATTAGCACTATATAAAATAAAACTAAGATTAATTATAAAAAATACGGTTTAATAAATTGACATACAAGTGTTTTTTTCTTTCTTATATACTGTTGTCATGAAAAAAATGAAAAGAGTCGAAGGTATTTGAACTTGCAACTGCAGTGACACTACCAGTAGGCTCGGCTGCACCCACTTTTTGTGAACTGGGAGCACACAACAATTTAAAGCGGGTGCACCTTTAAGACTCCTAAAAGAATTTCCACTACGTCAGCACGATAGAACGGTAGCACGGACACCCTCTCCCTCCCTAAATCCGCCCCCGGTGAGTTTTGACGTATATATATAATATACTTCAAAAAAGCATTTCTTGGCCAGTCATATTATCATCTTATGTTAACAGTGTACGTCCTTCCTTCAGGCCATATTCCACTTTCGTCTGTCTAAAATTGAGCTTTTTGTTGTTGCCACTGCTCTACATTCATCTCCTAGTGGTGGACCTAAGAATTTTCCTGAGTGGGTACACCGTTAAGGTGGGTCTGCAAAATCGCGGTTTAACTTGCGGGAAAAGTCAACACGGTTTGATCAGAGAAGAGACATTTGTGTCGATTTGGGGAATAAAATACATTCTTTCAAATGGAATCAATCTTGAATCTAGATCTTTAAAATAAATATATGTTGCCTTGAAAATGAGATAAAAAGCGATGATTTTTAAGATGAATTGGCGTTGAGAATGAAAATAAATCATGAAAAAGTAAAAAAAATCAAAATGGGTGAAAAATTAACCATTTACTTGAAATAAGATTTGAATTTTGAACTCATGATCTCTTGCATATAAAGTGCTATTCAACCATCCCACCTACATTTAATTTCTGTTATAAGCTTGGTTTCAAAGTAGTTAATGGCACCCCTCAAAATCAAGCGGGTCACTTTTCAGACGCCAATTTTTTTTCTCTTGGATTAATCGAGTGAGCGGGTGCATGGGAGCCTGGTCCCCTCTTAATAGGTCCATCTTTGTCCTAGTTGATTGGTCTAGATGCTAAATCAACTATTACTTTTGTGGAACATAATGAGCTTTTTATGATCCCGTGTAGTTTGATGATGTTGGTTCTCATGGGACGAAAATAATCATCTACAATTTATGGCTCGATGGTGAGGGTAATATGGAGCTTGATTTTGACTCAGATCCTGAGGTTTCAACTTTCAACTTCTTTCATTCTCATGATTTTCCCTGCAATATTTTTTTTGTGAATATACTACTGTCATTCCCATGAGTCGTAACACAATTTGCTGCACAGGATATTCGTATTCGATGGGATGGAAAAGGTAAAGCGAAAGATGATTCTCTTAAGGCAATAAGTGAAAATCACATTGCCAATCGCCTCCGGTATTCTCTTCGAGTAAGTTTCGGTTTTTACTAATCTATTTGTGTCCTCCCTCTGTCCCAAAATAAGTATCCACATTTTCATTTTAGTTATTCCTGTTATAGTGCCCACTTTCAAAAATAAGTGACAACTTTCCAATTTTACCCTTAATTATGAAGATGGAGAACTTCATTAATTCCTCTATTATTAAGGGTAAAATCATCGTTTAGTTAATTGAAAAGTGTAGTAATTACACATTTCTAAAACTGTATGCCTTTTTCTTTGTGGAGATTATTTTGAGACGGAGGGAGTACATGCTATTATATCCATACCATGAAGATTTTATTTAATTTTCTAGGTCTCACCGTGTTTCAGGCATACTTATCCGTCTTGTACTTGAAATTACCCGATACTTTCTGCATTGTATTGCGCGGAAAAGTTGTTCTCTATTACAATATTGCAACAGATCTGAAGATCCCGGAATTTATCTTGTATAAACCTAATAGCAGTGGTTGCGTCGAGGTGATTACAAATTCTTCTTTATTTTATTAACACGATTAAGGACCTGTTTTGTTAGTAGCTTAATGAGCTTAAGGGGGACCCGCAGCTTATTTGGTCAGCTATATATTGGTAGTGGCTTAATAATATAGAAAGTGACTTATTCAGTAAGTTTCTAAGGGGGGCGTGTTGTATTAAGAAAGCCGAGTTTTTCCAAACCTGTCCCTCCCAATTAATAAACACACTCCTTTCATCTATGAAAAAGCACCCTCAAACAAAAACCTTCACAATCTATACAGACTGATTAATTCACACAGACAACCTTATCCGTATGGATAAATTTGTCTGTCTGGATAAATGGGTGTTGTTGTTTACTTCTTTTTATCTAAACCGACAGTCTCAATAACATAAACGATCGATTTACCCCTCAATATTAATTATTTGAACATCAAAACAAAAATTATAGAGGACGATGATGGGGTGTCTCATCTGGGCTGAATGGGTTAGGGGTGTCATTTTTGTGGCTGAATGGGGACAACACATCATTTCTATTTGTGCGACTAAGCCATGTTGTGTGCGAATAAGCCGTAAGTAAACAACCCAAATGAGCTGTGCGAATAAGCCGTAAGTAAACAACCCAAATGAGCTGTGCGAATAAGCCGTAAGTAAACAACCCAAATGAGCTGTGCGAATAAGCCAGGTAGACCAATAAGCCTAATTAAGCCGCAAGTAAACAGCCCCTTAGATAATAGATGTAAAAGTATAACAATATGGATGTCAAATTAACGAGAATAAAATGCTCGCTTTTTGTATAATTTGTTTGGCTAATATTATGTATAGGGGAAAGTTATGTCGGTTAATCACATCCCTTCGATCAAATCCATCTAACAGTTGAGATTTGTTCCCATGCTTTAAACCTTTTTGCTGTTTCTATTAAAACCTCCTTGTAACATCTGGAACTGAGAGATATCGTACTTTTCGATTTGATCAAGTTCAGGGCAGTGTGGTTACGACGATAGGATTCCTGAAGGAGGCCCCGGATGTGAATATCCATGGTTTCAACATCTACCACAAGGGTCGTTTGATATTGGTAATTTCCGTTCTTCATTTTTACATATTTGATTATTGTCGAGAAAGGGAAAATCTAAAACAGTTAAATACGGTTGATATCGTTTGTTTATATTGTACGTTTTCAGCCATTTTTACCTGTTGTTAATATGGCCAGCAGCAGAGGACGAGGTGTTGTTGGTAAGTTTGGAGCGTTTTGACCTTGTCATAATGCGCCAGTTCCACCAATTGATGGGTTTTTGTTAACTTTGTTGTCGTTTTCTGTAGGTGTTCTTGAAGCAAATTTCATCGAGCCTACTCACAGTAAACAAGATTTTGAAAAAACTAACGTTTTTCAAAAGCTTGTAGCACGATTAAAGGATATGACATTCGAGTATTGGTGAGTCGTTTATTTTTTCATGCCAAATTATAATGCAACTTCTGATTGAAAGCGGACTTCTTTCCGATATTTGTAGGGATTGTCATTGTGGATTAATTGGATATCAGATCCCTAAAAAAGCTCGACCGCCATTAGCTTCATCTACTTCTACACAACCACCTGTAGCCTCGAGAAATCCCACTATTGAGAAAAGAAATGGACCACCAATAATCACTGTAGTTAACAGCAGGGTTGCTCTTAATGCAAATTTCTCTCAGGGTAAGAAGTCAATAAACTCGTAAAGTTTGATTTTCACATCTTCTGTTTCTGTCATATTCTTGCTGACATGGGTGCTCAAAAGAACTGTCGGACCGCTCAAACCGGTCAAAACAAGTATCTTTTTTGGTGGTCTGGCGGTCCAAATATGTATTTATTATATATAGTTTTCATGTTGTAGGCTCAACTTTTATGGTTCAATTAAAAAAAAATCCGTCCAAGACAATAAGTTTTAGTTTTCACTTTTCAATTGTCTGCTTTCCCTAAATCGGCAAAATTTTGAAATCCATCTAAAATCAAAATCCAAAATTCCAAATCATTCTTCAACTTGCTCAATGTTTGTCCAAAATTCCAACTATTGCTGGTGGATTTGTTTAACTTTTTTTTCAACTTATTCAATGTTTCTTTAATTTTAGAGATAGATGTTTCTTTTGTAATTTTGTATTGATTTTTGAGTAAATTAAGTTTTTTTGCCCCAATGGTTTGTGATAAATTGCGATTTTCGTCCCCGTAGTTTAGAAATTGCGGTTTTCGCCCCTATGGTTTGTAATCCATTGCTATTTTTGTCCTTATGAGTTGCAATTTATTGTTGTTTCGATCCCTGTAGTTTAAAATTCTTTATTGTTTTAGTCCCTTGTACTTAAAGTAGGAATTAGTCCAGGGACGAAAATAGCAATAAATTACAAACCATGGGGACGAAAAATGCAATTCCTAAACAACAGGGACAAAAATTGAGATTATTAACAAACCACAGGGACGAAAATGTTAAATTTTTTTAATAATGTTATATTGGTAGAAATTTTATTTAGAGGTTGATGTTAAGTGTTAGTTTAAAGCCCATAACAGGCCCAAATTGCTTAAACCGGGTCAGACTAGACTGCCTTTTTTGTGGTCTGGTTTAACTTGTTTGCTCACTAGTTGCCAAACTGCTCGGTTTGAAATTTTTTCCAAACCGCCATTGTGGTTTGGTTTATGGTGTAGGGGGTTAAACCACCCAAAACAGACTGCGAAAACTCCTACTTGCTAAGGTTATTGTGTTATGTTTGATTAATCAGGGTCAAATTTGAAGAGGAAATTACCTGATCAACCTGATGATTTCCAATCAAAGTCCCAAATGACAAAGACGAGTGCAGCTGATACCGGGGCAAATACGGTAATATAGTTTTTGAAGTTAGAAAATTTATCTCTATAACTATGTGTGTGTGTGTGTGTGTATATATATATATATATGTAAGATTTTGTTGACATTGTGTTCTTTGCTTGTAGCCTCCTGATAGTGCACAAACTGAAAAGAAGAGAATGATGTTACAAAAAAACAAGAAGCTCCAAGAGCAGTGAGTATTCGTTATAGATTGCTTGTAGTTTTTGTTGTTCCTGCAAAGTTGATCATAAATTTGTGTTCTTTTACGTACAGATGCATAAGGCCTGGAATTTTTGGGCCCCGGGCTTTCAAAGCCCGTTTTCAAAGGAGAAAAGGTCCAGGATTTTTTAGGTCCAGTTCGGGCTAGACTGGGCTTTGGGGTTGAAAAGGGGTCCCATTGGGCTTTTCAGAATTAACCGTGCTTTTCCAGGCTGGCCTTTTTCGAGCCAGACCTAGGCCCGGGCTTGCGGCCAAAATTTCACATCATCAGGCCTTGAGGCCTGGCCTGGGCTTGGCTTCGGGCTTAGTAGGTCCGGGCTTTTTCGGGACAGGCTTTGGGCTTGGCTTATTTGTGCATCTCTACAGTTTTACGGATGGAGAGCAACAGAGAAACCAAATGCTGTTTATGAACAAGTTTGTGATCGATAATGTGATTCTGGTCTAGTTGGTTAATAGTATATTTGTTGTATCTTTCAGATGCTTGGAGTTCAAGAGGGTGGAGGAAGAACTTAATCTCAAGGTTAGTTTGACAATCCTAATTCATTTTTGCCCTAGTGTTTTCTTTTTGCAAATTGGTCCTGGTCCGAGATTTTCCCTTTGTAACCGGTCCCAACCAAAAACACCTGGCCGGTTCTCCATGTTCAAAGCCCTGTCCCTAGGACCCTAGAACTGGTCCTGGTCCTGGTCCCGGTCCCGGCAAGACCAGGCCCAAATCAGTCCCAAGTTTTTTCCCACATTGGGACCGAGGGCATGGCAGGTCTGCATATATTTCACCCCCAAGACCCTATCTATGTTCGTTTGTTTTTTTTTTTCTTATGAAATATTGGGTTGGGTGAAATATGAACCTGTTAGACAATTTATAAGTGCGTGTGGTATGTGGGACATGACTAAACAATGATTTCTTGTTCCACGTTAGGTGCGACGTTTAGATTGGGACAAGGCAGGACTGAGTGGACAAAAATGCACCAAAATAGGTGGAAACAATAATCAGAAATGGAATAAGATTGATAAATTATTAAAATATCCATGTCAAATTAAAGCCCTAATGCCTTGCACAATTATTTCATATGCCTATCTCACTCTTACCCATCTCGTCAATGTCAACCACTGTTGGTGCCCGATATCGGACCAAATTGAAGTAACCTAAGATCGTACGTATTCACACCATAATTCTGGTTTTTATACATTATCTGGGGATAATTGGTCTCAAAACAGCCGTCATAAATGGATTCTATGATCAAACATTAAAACCATATTATTGGTCGCATGACTTATCTGATCTACCAGTAACTCAGATACCATTGGGCCATTGACCCTTGAAACCATATTATTTATTGGCAACATAAATGCATCTGATTCATGTTATATACTTATTGGATTGGCAGGTGATGGAGCTTAAAGCAGAGTTAGGAGAGGCTCAGAAAGAATATGCTGCTTTGTTGGCAGAGTTAAAGCTTCTGGAGAAAGTTGAAGGAGAAACTAACACACATCTATACAACTCTCTCCTTCCATGAATATATATGTGTGTGTGTATATATAAACTAATATTAATGGAGTTTGACATTAGAATCTAACTGTAGGTGCAGCTGTAAATGTAAACATAGGAGGTGCACAATCTAACTTTTGACAACCGATGTGAAATCGTTTTTTCGTTCTTAGTGGTTGCAAGATGGGTTAATTACTTCAAACTCTGTTTGGTAAGCAGACGGGACTAGACAGGCTAGAACGAGGTAGGCTGGTGAAGGCAGGGGTAGGTTCATTTGCAAATTTAACTTCCGTTGTGAACAAGGGGCAAAGGAGAGCCTGCCATGTGTCCTATATATTTATCGTGAATGGTGTTTCATTCATCCTGAATGTTGTAGAAAATTCACGTTCATTATTCATGATGAATAGGGACAAACGGGACACTATGTCGTGCTATTTTTTGTCCTCTGGTGGATTTGCAAGTCAACTTTCCTCGGTGGAGGAATTCTAGAAGATTTAGTTAAGAGTTTTAATTTGACATGAGTAGTTTAGTAATTTATCAATCTTGTCTCTCCTTGATTTTCATTCAAACCGGGACAATATTTGTTTTGTTCTACGTATCAACCGCACCCTCAGTGACCAAATGTTGAATAAACACATGCTTTAAAAATGTACAAAAAGCAATCACCAATCGAAGGAAAACATAAATTTGAACAAGATTCCACCTTCTGTGATTCATGAAAGCAACTATTCAGCAAAATGCCTGCTTCTTTCATATTTACATCAGATGGCCATTGATGCAAAGATTGCATACTACAAACCGATTTAAACCGATTTTTCTTGGAGAAATGTTGCATGAATGCTTCGCGTCAGACGTTCCGTTCACCACGGCATGCAAACCAATTGTTACCATCTTTGATGTTAATTTTGGGAACAAAGTCTATCTCGGTTTTATTGTTCGGTTATGGTTGCAGATGGTAAAAAGCGCATAAGAAAGCTCGAAAGAGACCAGATGCAAATGACCCCAAGGGACTGAAGAACATTCAAGAGCATATCCAAGGAACTGTTTATAGCCAAGTTTTGTGGTGATGACTCGGCCCCTCTAACCGTAAACGAGAGTGCCGTCACAAGTTGAGCTGCTCGATTCAGTTGGTGCAATCGATACACCTGTAACCAAATTCCAGTTGAGTTATCAAACCGAATCATAAAACTTCAAGAAAATTTCGTAAATGGGTAAACCAAACCAAACCAAACCAAACCAAACCAAACCACATGTTCCCAAGCAGAACACATCCGGAAATGGGGTCAGGGTAAAGATGTAGGCAAACCTGACCTCTACCCGAGAGAATAGAGCGGTTGTTTTTTTTGAAGGGCCCCAGTAGTGAAAATCAGAGATGCACAAGGCTCGGGCCTTCCAAGCCTGTTTTCAGTAAGAAAAAAAACTGGGCCTTCCAAGCCCGTTTTCAGTAAGCAAAAGAAAGCCGGGCCTTCCAAGCCCGCTTTCGGTAAGCAAAAAAAAACCCGGGCTTTGGGGTTGAAAGAAGGCTCAATCAGTACTTTTGGGTGAGCTTTTTCAGGCCGGGATTTAGCCGGGCCTTGAAAAAAAAAGTTGGCCCGATTGGGTTCTAAGGGTTGGCCTGGGCTCGGGCTTACTAGTCCTGGCTTCGGGCTTCGACTTTTTGTGCACCTCTAGTGAAAAGTGTGTGAAAGAGATACAAATATGCTAAAATTTGAAAATCTAGATCTAGAAAATGTGTGTTTACTTGAAAGATGACGGGAATGACGGGCCATGAAGGTGACTTGACGTATCTTGAATACTGCTCAAATGCAAACTGCACAACGATGCCAACAAGATATGGAGCCAGTGTTGCGGAAGCTGCAGGGCCGGTCCAAGGCCAAACCAACCCCATGGTGACCATCGGTATCACCAGACTGAGTACCAATGCAGCCACGGAAGTGATTCGGTAAACCAACTGAGGAGATGGGATAGTGCGGTTTTTGGCATTAACCGGCTCGTTAGGCCTACGCAAATGGTCTACTATCGAAAGGAAAACAGCTACCCCACAGTAGAAGAGAGCTTCCGTGAAGAATAATATAAGGAAATCTGCAAATAACAACGAAAATGCATTTGAAAATGTAACAAAATGACCTTTAATAAACCAAAATGAACCCAATATATTCCGCACAGAGAAAGCGTTTGGGACGAAGATAGGTGGATCGAAAACCAGGAGGATAAGACAAGATTGGTAAATTACTAAACTACCTATGTCAAATTAAACCCCTAAAAACTTCCACAATTCTTTCACCCGCCCGCCTCACTATCACCCGTTCAGTCCAGTCATATCCATGTAGCAAACTCACATTAGTAAATCCTAAGGCTAAAACCATTAACCGGGGTTCAGAAATCAAACCTGTTAATAAAGAATCCTCAAAAATAGTCGAAAGGATCTTGCGCATATAAAGTGGCGGGAAAATGAAGGAGGCTACAAGAACGGCAGGACCAACGAACCACAACAGATTGGTTTGGTCTGTGGTGGAGATCGTTGATGCAACAACTTCGGGTTCTTTTTCGTAAGGATGGTTATAAAACGAGATAAGACCTGGCTTTCCTGCACTTCCTCCACTACTTTCAACGGTTTCAAATCTTTTCGATTTTTCATCTTCGATCTCGAAATCATCGTCTTCTTGATCTGTGCCCTCATCCAGTTCCATCTCACTGCCGGAGATCAGATCATCGACAGAGGCAAAGAGTATAAATCGTCTCTTTGGGAACCTTTGGTTCGTGTTCAACCTTCCATGAAGGGAACATCGTGTATCAACTGTAGAGCATAATCAAAAGAAATTCGTAAAACTAGATTATGCATACACGGGAGACAAAATTGGTTTCAAACAATTGCTGGAAACTAACCACCTATTTTATGAGTATTCATGATGAATATTGTTCATGATGAATATTGTTCATGATGAATATTGTTCATCATGAATATTGTTCATCATGAATATTATTCATCATGAATATATGTCAACATTTATCATGAGTATTTTATCACATTATTCATCATGAATACTCATAAAAAGGGTGGTTCCTAAAACGTTACTAACGCACCTCCGATCTTAAGTCGCCTGCAATCATGTAATCTTGGTGGTAACCTAACCTAACAATGTAAATGCAACAAAAAGAACAGCATTATAGTTTGTAGAAATGAGACATGCGCAACGTTGGACAAATTGAGACTTGAGAGAGTGTAAACGCAACAAAAAGAACCAACGCCCTTGGCACGTTTTTATCCAAAATTGATCATTCTCACAAGTACAGTGGTATATTTTCAAAAGAAAGATGGTCGTTTGCAACTCAAAGATGAGTATGATGGTTCGTGAAGTCAATAGCTCTTTTTTTGGGGTAACCGTGGGTTTTCAGGGCAGCTTACGCGCACCGACTAATCCCTCGTGCGACCACAAATGGCCTGGAGTCAATAGCTCTATTTACAATCCAACGTAATTTGAAAACCGAAGTATGGTAGTCCCAAACACAAACCAAGGGTAGTTTAATGATATACAAATTGACTTATACAATAAGCTTTCAGGTGGAGTTTTATGCAAAAAACCAAGTTACAATTAAAAAACACGCTCTTTTCATCTGTGAAAAAACCATCGAACCTATACAGACAGATTAATCCACAACAGATTAATCCACAGTCAGCTTTATCCATGCAGGACTTAATGAAACCCAACCAAACAGCCCCTTAGTGTTATATACCTAAATGACCCCCAAAATTGAACCATATTCCTGATGACCATCCAACATTTATAAACCCTAGCAAATCTAGAAAAACAGAAACAAACATGAAGAAATCTGAATAACCAAAAGCAACCTACATTGCTACTTATCTAAAAAGGCTAAAAATCAGAGGAATTAGACATACAACCCTAAAATTCAAAAATAACACAATCCTGTTGATTTTAGTTGCATAAAACTATCGCGATTTAAACCCTAAATATGCTGTTTTCAAAAATGAATTCGTGTAATCCTAAATGCTGGATTAACTAATTGCTTCGAAGAATCGAAATGAATCTCCAAATTTGGATCCACGATCGTCATAAACCCTAGAGAAGATTTCCGTAAACTGCAAATTAAAATAGTTTTGAGGGAAGGAATTGTACCTGAGGAGTTGTTGTGGACTGGAAATGAGAAGTGAAAGACGTGGAGACGCAAGACAATGAAGAAGCAATTTTGTTGACCGCCATTGTTGAAGGCAAGATGATTGTCGAACTCAAAATTGAGAATCTACAGGGACCCCATTGGAGAGAAGGGATATTTGGAGAAACCCATGTAAGAGGAATTGGAAGAATTCGATGATTTTTGAGCGAATGAATACAATCCAAGAAAGCCGCTATCCCTCAAGAGTCTGAGGTGGGGTGAATTTTTGTTTTACAAAGACGAGTTCTTGGCTTCTTTCAGCAGTGGCTGTGTCCTGTTAAGATGTGTAAAATCACTTAATGTGTACGGATCACTTGGTCTTAAGTTAGGTTAGTGTTTGGTATGCAGACTGAATGAGACAGGACATGATATGTTTGATACGATTAAGATAGGAATGGACAAAACTATTAAAATGATCATATTACCCCTAAATGTTGTTCAATGTTATTTTATATCATATAATGATTGTAAAATGACAACAAATCAACCTAAATATTGTCATTTTAACTTTAGTTCTATCTTTTTTTGGTGGAACAAGAAATATCAAGATTTGTCCCATTAAAATTAAAAATAGTCCCACATTGTCCCATGTTTTTTTTGTCAATGGCATGCCAAACATGAGACTATTTTTTTTGTCTCGTCCTGTCCCATGTAGTCTGCATACCAGACGCACCCTAATTGTTAGTAGCTTAATGTGTTCAATGGATTTAAAGCTTATTCGGTAAGTTACATATAAATGTTTGTTAATGGTTTAATGATATAGAAAATAGATTTATTTAGTAAGTTTTTAGAAAAAGCTTGTATAAAAAGTTAAGTTTTTTTTTCTTCCCAAACATGTACCTCCAAAAAAACATGCTTTCGATTTATACAAACAAATTAATTCACAGATACCGTTTTATGCATACATGGTTTAAAGAAAAACTAACAAAACAGCTCCTTACTTCATCCTAGGTTGTAGCCAAGGTCATCTGAAATAACATGTGATATTCTTGGCTTTTTTGGGTTAACACAACATTTTTTCTTTTTTATTTAAACATCCCGCTGCTGGCATTAAATCGTGAACGTTATTCAACTTTGTTATAACACGATTCTTGAACTTTTGAATTTTATATTTTCGTCTAAAGTATCCAATTTGTGGTAATGGTAGGTCACTCGAATGGATATGCCGTTTGGGTCTTGGGGTGGAATGTACACAAACCTACCATCTATTGCAAAGTGTAGAACAATTGTTTCCGTAAAAAGACCCCCCTTGCTCGTCTGCTATTTTATGGTAGGCTAATAGGCGGGAACCGCATAATCAGGCCGCAAATCGAAGCAACACGACATGCCAATAACCCATCAATCGAATCGCGGTATGCAAGCAAAACAATATCAAAAACTCCAAAATAATCCATCAAATAACCTATTCATAATGGGTATTCCTATACGTTAGCCTAGAGGAACCATTACATGAAACAAATGAAACGAGATGAAACAAGACTTCTTTTAACCGTAGGTGTTCAGGCCAGCTTGCGCGTACCTTCACTAATTCCACGGGACCCGGAAGAAAACAGCTACTAAAATGACCCTCAAGAGTCTCAAACTGGCGACCTATAGGGAGGAGTTGAGTCCTATTTGACCTACATGATATTGGCCATCTTCAAGAACCCAATCGTTTGGCGACAAGACCACATTGATTCAACGAAATCCAAACACTTATCCGCTATCCACACTTGAAACTCTTCCCACATTCTTTTCGACTCCTCTATATAGTTCAAGTTCCTAAAGTACACCATATGTTGCCATAAATGAACCCGAATGAATTCTTTGACTTTTCCACGACTAAAGTTGTTTACCAATTTGACCGACTTCTTGAAGCTGAAAACGTAGAGCGAGCATATCACCCAAACCGTCTTGATGTAAACAGCAACGACTAGAGGTCCAGTGATCCACAAAGGAGTCAACTCCTTTGCAACTTGTGCTCCATATTTCATATTCACCATCAGGAGCAGGGGTATGCTGCAAATTAAGCCTCGAAATTAGAACCGACAAAGGACCCTATTCCACGTATTCTTACCATATCAAAATTAGGGAAAAAATCATTTAGGAACTGTTGGTATTTTGAGAAAGCTATTCATGATGAATACCATGATGATGAAAATGCATGATATTCATTATGAATAGTCTTCATGAATTAAGTTCCCAAACCTGACCTCTACCACAAAGAGTAGAGCGGTTGTTTCTATGAGTAGATATTGGTAGTGTGTTAGATTAAATGAAACATGGGGGAATACTGGCAACCTGTGAAGCTATGCCATTTGCAGGAATACATTAGATAGGGGCAGGTTCCGTTAGGAACCTAAAATTGATTAGGAACCCAATAACTGTCCAGAGCGCCATACGTGACATATTCATCATAAATATGGGCATGTTATTCTTTGTGAATGTTGCAATATTCATCACGAATATGCAATTCATGATGAATAACACATCCATATTGATCGTAAATGTGTTATTGATCATGAATATTCATCCTGAAGAGGGACACATGCTGGGTTGTGGGCAATAACCAGGTTCCTAATCAATTTTAGGTTCCTAACATAAAGTATTACTTACAAAATAATTGTTGGGATCTTTATTGTTGCATCCATACCCCAAAAGTTGCACCAAACAGTCTCCAAAATTCCACCTTTTAGGAGCTCGTGATCTGTTTCTACCCGTCCTTTTGAGGATGGTCCCTCTAATGTTTCTTCTTTATTTTGTGAAGCCATGGGCAATATCGTCAACCAACTTTTAAACATGTTATGTACGGCTAGAGACCCTGTTGTGGTCACATCTGCATCGGAGGTAGAGTGAGCACGACCATTCTGCACCTTCGGCAATCCTGACAAAATGTCTTCATTGCCCTGGGAGATGTACGAAAGTTTGAAAGAACTCTTTCCAGATTGTGACCCTCTTAATCCGTATGATATTCTTAAAGATTTCAACTTTGATCCATAGATAAGTGGGGGATCCACACTGTTAAAAAAATAAGCAAGTTACTTCCTTCGTCCCAAAATAAATGTCCACAATGAAAAAGGCACACAATTTTAGAAATGTGTGGTTATTACACTTTTTAATTAACTGGGTGACAATTTTACCTTTTATAATAGAAGGAATAATGAATTTCTTCATCTCATAATTAAGGGAAGAATTGGAAGGTAGACACTTACTTTTGAAGATGGACACTTCTTTACGACAAACTAAAACAGAAATGTGAATACTTATTTTGAAACAAGCATTTACGAGAAAGAGATCATCATTGATATCATGGCTATTCAAAAAAAAAAAAAAAAACTAAAGAAGTCCTCCTGGAATTTTTTTTATGAGCTTATTGAAAAAGCACCCTTTTGTGAGCCTAATCTAGTTTATTGAAACGCTTCCAAGGGGGTCTTATATTTTTTCAACTAATTATTCGACGTGTCCTTTTAGGTCATTTTACATGTAACATGACTAGTTTATAAGCGGACAATTAATTTATAAGAACAACTAGCTTATCAGCTAGTCTACCGAATATAATCTAATTTGTAATCTATTCATCATTTTTTTAGTTTATATAATATCGTTCATCAAGTTTTGGAGTACTACATATTATAATCCTTATCCATAAATATAGAGTTGAATTGTTAGAGACTATTATAATACTTCTACGATAAACCAAAATGAGGTTTTACTATGATTTTGAATCATTTGCTTACATACGACTAGTTTATACTCTTCTTCTACTTCAATGCAAATTGGACATTAACATTGGGGACGTTTCCATAGCAAATGATGGAAATGTTATGACCCTTAAATGGTCATTATAGCATACAGGAAATTATATCTAAAAAGCAAATGAACAAATAAAGATAAGTTCTTACCATAAACAAGAAGTAATGTTTATTCTCTGAACCGTGCAACATGCGGCTAAATTTTGTGTTGGTTTAATCCCTCTCTTCCAAGAAGGCCTTGACAGAGCATATGAACCCTTGAAAGACGATAAAAAGATCCATCAAAACTCCAGTCATGAGTTGGATTCCTTTATGTCCCCAGTTACCAAATGCATTTAACAAGAGCAATTTTAGTTCACTCAATTCCAAGAGGAATGACCAACCAAACCAAACCAACTGAGCCCCGTATATCCCATCTAAAGTTGTCATGTCCAACCTCACACTCCCCTCTCAACCGTCACAATTTCTACCATCCTCACTTGAGCGGCCAACTGTCTCCTACAAACATGACCAAACCATCACAATCTTCCCTCCCTCTTAACCAACCAAAATATAAAGATGTTCCATATAGAAGTTATGAAACCGAAAGGGTACAATGTTTACTCTCACAAGGGTTTCTTTCCCATTCCTTCATCATATTGATACATGAATACAAGAACAAAATTTGGGCATTTCTTTACCTGAGACTGATGAGTTGCCAAGACCATTATTCCCTTTGAAAGCACCTAATCACCTATACATTACAGATAACACCTGGAAGTATATCAAATCAAGAGTTTAGTTGGTGATCAATTAGGGCACAAACTCAATAAAACAAATTTTCCACAAAATACTACAGAAATTCACCTATTCACAAGAAGAACCTTCTTCTAGTTTGAATCTCTGAATGTGTTAGAGAAAATAAACAGAACATATGAATGCTTTATGTTACCAAATTTTATGTCACTCATAAATCATACGTGGTGTAAATTAAACAAAAAGGATGAAATTCCGAGGGTTAACAAAATTTAGCAATTCCAATCAGCATGAATTTAAAAGTAAAAACTAATTAAGAACACGAACAAGCAGCAGGCTATGATTTTTCGAACTGGAATCGACTGGACGCATCAAATTTGACAGCAATTCAACTCGAAACCTGTGTGGAAAGATGATTCATAGCATTCGCAGCTGCAAATGCTATTTATGATTACGAGATGACAATTTGTATAGAAGCAGGCTCGAATTTGAAGAGTTGTATGGAATGCAGGTGGATTCAATGAAGAACCAAACCCTTTCTGGCTTCTTAGAATAGAGTAAGTTTTGGCCAGACAAGAGGATAACATGGAGGCCAAAAGAAGGGGGGTAATAAGTTTAGGATGTTTGGATAAACAGCTTGTACCGGTATCAAATCGGTAATAAGGAGGTTTTGAAGAAGTTAAATCATTCTAACTTATAATAAGTTGACAAAGACTTTTATATAAAAGCATAAGTTGTTTCAAATAAGCAATCCCAAACACCCCTAAAAATGGTTCACGTACCGCGTCTTATAACCGGTCTCGGCCCAAATTCAGTTTGAACCCGGTTCAACCTCTGGTTTTGTGTGTATTGACTCTCAGCTTTCATCCAAGGCAAAATGGTGGGAATTCGACTCATCCTAAGAGACGGTTTAGTCAACGACACGTGCCTTTGGGGGTTGCTTGGTTCTCGGCAAGACTTGCTTGACAGGGTACATGGAATTGCAATCTCTACAGTTGGGAGTTCTACTTTGATGGTGGTGTTTATTCATATACATTAATCGAAAAGAGAATCTGTCTTGACCCACTTGTTATCCCTCTACGACATGTTGTCGTCACCATATTCCAGGTCCCGCTGTAACTACCTTGTTATGACGTCATTCAGTCGAACCATTATTTAGAAAGTAAAAAACAAGAATAGGTTAGATAAGCATTGAACATTAAGGCGTTCTTATAGTTGACTTTTTTTTCTTGGTTGATTTTTCATTAAGGCTATGTTTCGCATGGAAAATCAAGAGAAATAGTCATTTTCAGTAAGCATGACAACGGGGCGGAGATTGGGATGGGGATGGGGATGGGGCGGGTTTTGTAATCCCCGGCCCCGGTTTGTAATAACGTCCCCCGGCCCCCGTCCCCGGTGGGTACGGGGATTATCATCTCGTCCCCGGTCAAATTCTAGCAATCTTCGGTCAAAACCCGGTAAAACCCTGGTCAAACCCTATAAAAAGTATCATTTAGTTTGATACTACCGGGGATCCCCGGCCCTGACCACGGCCCCAGTTTGAGTAACATCCCCCGTCCCCGGTTTGAGTCTACCGGTGATCACTAGCCTCGGGACCCGTTTTAGCGGAGAATCCCCGTCCCCGTCCGGATCAGGTGAACCGGGTTCCCTACCGGGTCGTGGCAAATCAACATCCCTAATTTTCAGAGACCAAATTCATTTCTTATCCATTTTCTATTTCCATAATATCACTACTTTCACAAGTGGTACTTCAGTAAATTGTAGAGGTAGCTAAAGACAAAAAATTTCACTTTTCACCAGGTCTGCAAGTAGGTGAAATTTGATTTTTGTGTGTGTGTGTGTGTCTTTTAGCTCCTCCGCAAGTTGTAGAGGTGCCACTTGCGGAGGCAGTAATATTTTAGAAAAAATTTAGAGAGGAATCGCTAAAAGATGAATTTGGTCCCTGAAAATGGCTATTTTTACTTTCTTGTTTTACAAACCAGTTGATCAGCTAATTGATAAACTAAATACATTTGGTAAAACTAGTTGGTAAGCAAGTTGAAAAATGTAAATTGACCAAAAACTACAAGATTAAAAATTAATAAAATTAAACATTTGACAATATATTCAAAACAATTCATTAATAACATAATATATTAATTAATACAAGCTGGATGTGTGTTAATCAATAGATTTTAATTTGATTTATTATAATTTTATGTATAATGTTAAAAAAAAATTTGGATTTGTATAATCAAATACAAATTTTAGAAAATATCTACATTAAGTAATAATTTTAAATAACCATTGCATATAATCTATACTATCTATACTATATTATAAAGCATTTGGCTAAAACTCTTAAAAACTCTTAAAACTCTTAAAACTCTTAAAAACTCTTAAACCAGATTTCATCCCTATCCGATTTCATCTCATATCTGAATTCGTATAACTAACTGCAGATAAACACAATCAAATACATGATAAACATCTAATTTTAAATATAAAAAATCTAAA